CGAGGCTTACAAGATGCTTCGAATGATTGGCCTCGCGAGCGCTGGTGGCGCGGCAAGCAAGGGCGGCGACGCTCTGGATGTCACAGACGCGGCCAGCGAGTTCAACCGCCTCCTGCAGACTGGCACTGCGAGCTACACAACGAAGAACGCAGGTGCGTACGGCGAGGCGGCCGCGCCAACCATCAGTATGGGCGTCCTCGGGAACGGGCGCCCCTCAGTCATCATTCCTATGGAGAGGGGCGACATTGGGTCCAACCACGTCGCAGCGAAAGAGCGATTGCTCTTTGTCACTGGCCGTCCAGTGGAGCCGCACGCCCCGGTGCCCGCCCGGCTGCAAGTTCGGACCGGGGAGGTTTTCAAGCCGTGGGCGTGGCCGAAGTTGCTGATGTGCATGATCGGCCCGTTGGGCTTGCCGGCTGAAGTCGCCGCGCCAGCGGGGGCCAGGGAGAAGCTCCAGCGGGCCCGGCGGCGCCCAGACTGCGGCAACGAGTCCGACGACGAGGGCGACGCGGACGACGCTTTCGACCCTGATGCCAGCGGCTACATGATAGAGCTCGTGGACGGCACGGCCAGCCGTCTGCGGTTCCGGAAACGGCACGGCGAGCGGGGAGAAGTCGCTTGGGTCGCGGAGTACAGGGTCGCGAACAGGGCTGTCCCCATCCCGGAGGACATGACCATGAAGAGGCTTGCGGAGCGCGTCTTGGAGTACTTCTCGGCGCCGCACGCCGTCATTCCTTGGGCCGAGGACGCGTTGCTCGCCCACGAGGGGCTCTGCGTCTGCTTCAACGCGGAGTGCGCAGTGCGGCGCGACGATGGCGACGTGGAGGAGGCGGCGCGCCTCGGGGCAGCCCCATGGCACCTGGCAATGCTGTCCTCCGCTCTGTTGGTGCTGGAGATCGCTGTCGGCGAGCACGACGGCACGGCCGACTTCCGCAACCGGTGCCTGCGCGTTCAGGAGGCGCACGTCGTGCGGGGGTTCGACTTGATCCGCCTGTGCCACGATGTCCGGAAAGCTTGGCAAGGAGCCCGAGGGCGGCGAGGGCGCGCCTGGCGGCGCGGGGGCGGGCACTTCCCCAGCCGACGTCGACCCCCCCGTCCACCCCGCTGGAGCCCCGCGCGGCGGGGCGCCCGCGGCAGCGCCGGCGCAGCCGCTGATGCTCTTGAAGCCGGGCGATCCGGAGGTGCCCAGCATGGACGTCGGGCACGGGGAGGGGGGCGCGCAGGTGCAGCGGCCCGACGTTGGAGCTGTGATCTTGAAGGACCGAGAAGTGATGAAGAAGACGCTCATGCGTGGGGGCGCACGGGTCTTCTGCCCGGACGCGTGCGACAGCATCTCCGTGGTGTCGGCGGGCGAGGGGGCCAAGCGATCCAGGAAGGCATTGTGCAGGGCGCACTGGGAAGCCGTCATGCGCGCAGGCCTGGAGAAGTACCGCGTCGGCACGTTCGTGCACCGCGCCGACTCCGAGGTCTGGATGGGCCACAACCAACTCGCCTCACCGATCGGGCTCGCGCCCCGGCCAGCCCCCGGACCAGGATTGGGGCGCGCGCGCCTCCGCGGTCGCGCCGGGGGGGCGCGCGCGCGGATTCTGAGCCCACGGGTTGGGTCTTTCCTTCGGGCCTTCCTGTGGGGTCTCTGGGAGATGGGTTTTGATGGGTTTCAGCCGTGGAACCGTTCATCAGGGCGCGATGGCGCGCCCTCCGCGGGGAAAGATCGGCGGTGGTGTTTTGGTGGGCGCAGCGCCCCCCCGAAAATTCGTTGATGGGGTTCTGTTCGCGGAAAAAGTGCGTTTTTTTAATGATCATTGCTTGAAAGCAGACCGTATGAACGATAAGACAACCATCGGGCCAATTATCGGGCACATCAATCTGGACAACCATCGGGACAACCGTCGGGGCAATCATCGGGGCAACCATCGGGGCAGCCGTCGCGCCAACCATCTGGGCAACCATCGGGACAACCATCGGGACAACCATTGGGGAAACCTTAACGACAACCATCGGGCAACCATTATAGCACGATCGGACTACTGAATGGGTGAAAGCTTTTGAGGGCGATTCCACGCGGAGTACCAGTTACGTCTACACCATCGAAGGCAACACTACAGCAAGGTCAACCAACAACAACCGAACACAAACAACTTTGGACGGGCGCACGGTCTCGGCAACAAAACCAAACAGAACCGAGATACATGGATGTCCCGATGGTTGTCCAAGTAGTTGCCCTGATAAGTGTCCCGATGATCTTCCCGATGGTTGCCCCGACGGTTGTCCCGATGGTTGCCCCGACGGTTGTGCTGATGCATTCTTGGTGGGCCATCGCCGTCCCTCTCCCTCGCACTCACGCACCGCCTCTCCTTTTAACCCTCCCCCTCCGTTCTCCAAGGCGGCGACGGTGACGACGACGATGGACGACGACTACGGCGACGAACGACGATCGACGACGGCAACGACATCCGACGACACCGACGACGGTGGGCGACGACGGCGACGACGAGGAGAAAAGGAGGATGAATATGGGAGGAGGAGGATGACGGAGCAGAATAAGGATGCAGGGGGTGATGGGGGAGATGGGGTCATTGGGGCAACCTTCGGGACAACCGCCGTTTTGGAGGGCTCGGGCTATCGCGGGGTTCCCTTGGGGCAGTCTTGGGGGCCCCCTGTGGCCCTCTCGGGGATGTCTTGGGGGCTTCGCGGGGCGCTCTGGGGTCCCTCTTGGGCCGCCTTGGGGCTCTCAGTGGCCGTCTTGGGACCCTCTTGGGCCGTCTTGGGGTCTTCTTGGCGTGGCGGGGCCATGCCAAACACCATTGCAGCACGTACGTGCCCTTCCCTCTTCACCTCCTCCTCCCATCACTTACTCCTCCTCATCGCGGTCTCTCTCTCTCTCTCTCTCTCTCTCTCTCTCTCTCTCTCTCTCTCTCTCTCTCCCTCTGTCTTCCTCGCTCCTGCCCCTCCGCACTCGCTCCTCCCCCTCGCCCCTCCCCCCGTCGCCTTGTCATCGCCCTTCTGTCCCTTGGGCCCGAGTTGATTGCCAGGGCATCGTCATCCTCCACATTTCATTCCTCCCTCCTCCCCTCTGTGCTGTCCATTCCCTGGTCGCTCTCATGAATGTTGTCTTGTCCTCCTCCCTCCGCCGAAGCCGTTTTGGCCAATCAGTTTCATATTCCATATGATTCGCAGAGGAGTGCGAACGCTTCATATGAGATGATCCTCTTGAGGATCGCCATTGCTGCCATGGCAGCGGCAGCTGGCGCCCATATTTCCGACGATGAAGATTTCGGAGGGCCGCTGGCGCCCATCATTTCCGACGACGATGAAGATTTCGGAGGGCCGCTCATGCCCATCATTTCCGACGACGAAGATTTCGGAGGGCCGCTGCCGCTGCCCAGCGTGTCTCATGTAGCTGCGCCAGCCCACGCAGCCGACCGCGTAGAGTTGTTCAGAGCCTTGCCCATGAAGTGCTACACGCCCCGCGCAGTCAACAAGCGGGGCGCCCGACTCATATCCAGAGAGGCTCGAGCAATAGTTCAGCAGTTGAAGCCTCTCAGGGATCAAGATATTGTGCCTGGTGTACCGCTGCTATTGGACATGTTGATTTGCGCCAGTGACGGCTCCCGCGCCACTTCGACGATGTGCAGTTTCACGAGGCTCAGTCATGAAAGCGGTGTGCACCAATCAAAATTATCAGAGGTGCTTGGTGCTCTTAGCAATTGTTTCTACGAGGTTTTGAAGACGACTGCAAACACCTTCTCAGAGTTCATGTTGCACTCGGTCCGCACGCCTGCACATTCAGCCGGCGATGCAGATCCAATACGTACGATACCCATTGTCCAGTTCCGCATGCGGATGTACGACGGCACCAAGCACCACATCAGGGTCGTCTCTCCGACACCGAGTACAGGGCCAGTGGCGATCGTGGAGGCCAGCAAGAGCAAGTACGAAGTGCACGTTGCATCATCCATGCGCGCGTACTGCTTGCAGCAGCACCTGGCCGACCACTCAGTCCGCACCATGACTTTCGCAGTTCACGAGCCCACGCTGCTGCAGAGCGGTGACGGCACAGGCGCTGAATACATCACCGCGTTCATGAACCACATTGGGGACACAGCATTAGATAAGAATTTAGACGATACATTTCACCGATCAGTGGATTTGATCATTAGCGACGAAGCTGGAGCAAACATCAGGTACGAGAACGGAGTTCGGAGCCGACACCCGGCCAGATATTCATTACACCTAGTCTGCGATGCCCACAAGAAAGCGAAGGTGGCGACATTGGGCTCGGCAGCGCAAGGCCAGGTCAGCACTCGCATCATCCGCCTCCAGCTGAGCCTGCGCGGGAACATGATGGGCCTTCGACACGCCATGCGAGAACTCATCAGAGAAAGGCTGGTCATAATCCACGGCGCCTGCAGTGACTTGGAGGCTTCTCGGCGCCGCTCCGACGTCATCGACACCTTCATGCCGATCGAGCGCGCAGAGGACGTGCGCATGCGAGAGGTAGTGCGCAATCTCTTCAACGGCGACTGGCGCAGGGCTGGCAGGATCGAGCACTATGAGAACGGATGCTGCCGAAGTCGGGCTCAGACATTGCGCATCATGATGACCGTCGGCGCGCGGGCGCTCACGAGGCGCCTGGCCGACGTGATGGACAGGAGCAATTGGACGGGGTCTCATTATTCAGTTTGCGGGCTTGGGTCGGCAACGTTTGTGCACAACATTTTCCCGAGTGCGTATTCTACATATTTCGCTGGAGCTGCCAGTGGCACAGCGGATCCAGAGGAGCCAGCAGTCGATCGGGCTGTTGATTCTGGAGCCGACGTGGGCGAGCCGAAGGACCCGAGCGTGTGGCGAGAGGAGAACAAGTCCCGACAGACGCAAACGTTGTCTTGGCTGCAGAGCGGTTGCTTCCGCGATGACATTTACTTGTTTTCGAGGTCCGAGGTTTCAATTCTACGCCGACCTGCCTCTACCAACCGACGGGGCGGGGACTCGGCTTCGCCATGGCGATGTTCGACCTGGCCCGCGGCTGCTTGACAGGGCGGGGGCGCCTCGATGCGCCGTGTCAGGCGGCCGTGGGCCCAGGGGGCGAAGCCGCGTCCTTTCGCCATCGGTCGGTGGCGAGTTCGGCGTAGACTTGAGCCCCCACACTCAGGACCCACGGGCCGTGCCACCACTTAATATTGGATGAGTTGTCGCGCTCTGGAGCAGAATGGGAGGTGCGTCAACAGAAGAAGTTGATCGATAGCGGCTCCAGGGATTACCCGATTTGGGCCGCCAGTGATGCCAAGCAGGTTGCGAAGTTCACGAAGCAGATGACGGCTCTCATCTTCGACGACGGCAGTTGGCCCCTGGCGACCATGGTGACGGAGAGTTTCCAGCTCGACGCGTACCGTGCATGCTCGAGGCTGGCAGCGGCCGCTTACGAGCTCGTGGAGGTCAGGCACAGGAAGACCCCGTACAAGACGTTCAACGTGCTGAGGGACGACGGCGCCACAGAAGAGTACCTGGCCAACACCAGCGAGTGCGTCCTTGATACCTACACGGTTTCCTGGAAGGAGTACTACAGTTCCCGCGGTGGGATCGGCGGCAGGATGGCGAAGGCCGAGCTTGCGGGGATTCTCCCGCTAATGACAACCAGCACTGCCTTCGCCGAGCGCACTCACAGCGAGAACCTGCAGCAGAGCGAGAACAGCAAGTTTTCTTGGGGCATCGACCTGCCATCGATGAGCGGCCTCGCCCTTTTCAGGCAATACTTGAAGTGGCAGACGGCTATATTCCGCGGGCTGCCCAAGGCCACCGCCGAGGAGAAGAAAGTGGAGGTGCGGCGGGCCCAGCGGACGAGCAGGCCGGCGCCGATGGGGCCGTGGGTGTGGCGGGCGTTCGTGCATATCGAGGCGAACGGCGTGTTCGTCGACGCCGCTCTGGGGGCCGAGTTAGCTGCCAGGTACGCTGGGTTATCCGCCGAGGAGCGGCAACCATGCGAAGATTTGGCAGCTGCCGCACTGCAAGAATATCGGAATGGGCGACCTGCATTCGGGAAGCCGCCTCGACGGAGCTCGCCCGCGCGCGCGGCAAGGGGAATGCCGACCGTGCGCGTGGTCGACGGCGATGCCCCCAACGGAGTCGCCCTGGCCGACGGCGAGCAGGACGCGGCGTCGTCGGTCTTCGAGAGCACCATCTTCAAGGCTGCGACCGTCAAGCTCATGGCGCACAAGAGGGCCGCGGCTGCCACCAGGCGTTCTGACCAGGCGGCGGAGGCGGACCTGAGGACACGATCCAACGCAGAGGCTGATCGGCATGCCAGGGACTGGTATTTCATTGGGAACGATGCTTCTGCTGCCGACGAGCGGCCCGCTGACTTAGCCATCCAGCGCTCCATGTTGCCGACGGCCGTGTTCATGCGGAGGCGCGAGTCTGTGATGTCCGAGGTCCTGAGGGCTCTCGACACCAGCAGCGTGGAGATGGAGTCTGCCAAGTGGATTGCCAAGCATGCGCATGCGCGCGAGGTCGACTGCAAGCCTTTGGACGCACCCCGTCGGCTTCGGCGCCTTTGCTGGGAAGCCGAGAGGTGCATCTGCCAGGGGCCTGCCCAGATCTCCAAGACCTTCAAGCACAAGTTGACCGTCGTGTGGCGCGTGGTGGAGCACGCCGTCGGGGAGAAGCTCTTCAAGGCAACCATGGTGGCGAACAAATACGTGATCAGCTTCTCGTTCAGGAAGGCCCCTGCAATGTGTTCGCATGCTGTCGTGGCGGGGTCTGTCTTGGAAGTGGTTCCTGCGGGCGATGAGGTCACGCTGTTCTTCCACATCGCGCTGCACTACGCTACCCCTTGGAGGCCGACGTTCATTTTCATGGATCGTGAACCATCCCAAGATCGCGAAGGCTGCTTGGGCCTGTCGCCTACCAAGGAGCTCGACGGCCCCGACGCCACCTTGGGCAGGTACACCTTGTCGGAGCTGACGACGGCGTGCTTCGAGGACTCCTGGGACAAGCGGCCGTTCCAGGTGAAGTGGTACGAGCTCTTCGCAGATGGCCGACAGGTCGCGCAGTTCAAGCCCGCGTTGCAACGAGTACGGGATCGACCGATCGTGGAGTGCGACCTGTGGTCTGTAAAGCCCCCGCCGCCGGAGCCTCGAAAGAGGAAGAGGGGCGGGGGGCCGCCGACGGGCCCATCCAAGTCTGGCTGCGCGCCCATTCGCGACGAGGACGACGAGGACGGCCGCGACCCCGAGCTGCTCGAGGATGGCGCCGTCGAGGGTGACGTCGTGGAGTCCGAGTCTGACGGGCTTGCGCCGATGGTGCCTGCGACGCCGATGGGGTCCGACGAGGAGTGGGACCTCGTTGGGCCGTCCGACTGCGAGGGCGGCCCCGACGCCGCCGCCGCCATTCCACACTTGGGGGGCGGCGACGGCGACGTCGCAGCTGAGCCACAGCCGCGCGCTGAGTCCCCTGAGCCAGTGCTGCCGCCTCCAGAGGATGATTGCATCTTCCAGGCGGCAGCTGCGAGCTCGGCAGCTGAGGGGGGGGCTGGGCCGCTTCCTGGAGGAGGCGGGCCCCCCCCCCCCGAGGGTCGAGCGCCTGCCTTGGCAATTTTCCACACCGAGCACGGCAGCATTCGCTTTTACATCCGAACGTGCCGCTTCACGGCCGAGTGCAGACGGGGAGCGCACCTCGAGCATGGGAATTGCGTGCTCTCTCGCACCAGCAGGCCTAGTGCATGACTGTACGCGCGCTCTTGGCCTCAGAGCGTCCCAAGAGGGATGGTGAGGACGACGAGCCTTACGACGCCCCGAGGTGAGTGCACTGGAGGAAAACAAAAAAACAAGCATGATTCAACGAGGCCAGTTTGCAACGACATAATGCCAAGCCACGGTCAGAAAGCAGGCAGGCCCTACGAGGCAACATCCACATAAGCAGCACATGATAAATTGTTGACGCTTCGCGAATCCCCACCAGCCCATCCAGAAACGATGCCCAGAGGAATTGCCTCGATCAGGGAAGTGGTCAGCACGCAGAGGAAGCCAGTATGAGACATCTTGGGTCTTGGGCCAGATTGGGCCATCGTGGCGGTCAGTTTGGGCCCCCCCAGGCGCTCTTAGGGTCATCTTAATCAGTGCACACCCCGCAAGAGGCCAACATGTGGCTAACACCTTCGTGAAGCCAAGGGTTTGGCATTCTCGTCGAGGCCTCTTGGAGCATCTTGGGTGCCGCTGGGGGGGGTCTATTGGGGCCTCGTGGGCGCCTCCTGGGGGCCTCTTGGGGGCCTGTTGGGTCCATCTTGGGGCCATCTTGGGACCCCTCGGGGCCTACTGGGCGCTTCTTGGGGCCATCTTGGGCGAGATCGATCAACCAATATGGGTGCTTTAATTAGCCCCCCCCCTCAGGGCGCCCAAATGGTACCAAAACCATGGTGGACCTAATGATGTTGGCTCCATCGCCGAGACAATTTTGGACGCCCTGACACCTCGCGACCCTTCCCGTCCAAGCCCAGGGGAGGGGGTAGGGGGAGGGGTACCCCCCTACCCGAAGGAGACGAAGGATGGGGTGGAAGAGGACACTCTCTAAACCACCAACGCCCGGAAGGCTAGTGGGATGTTGTAGCCAGCTGGGTACCAAGGGCCGTGCAGGGGGTCGGCGACACACACGTATCCAGGCCCTGGAGTTCTCGGAACGCAGGCGTTGTAGTTGGTTGTTGTTGGTCTGGCGCATGTCGGAGCTCTCGAAAAACAGGCTCCTTTTTTTTTTTTTTTGCCTGGCGCCTGTCCGACCCTAGCCACCTCCTCTGGTGTATCGCTGCCTCTGCCGCTGGTCTCCCCTTGCTGTCTGTTGCTGTTCAGCAGATCTGCCAACTCACTGCGGGGAGCGCGTCATGGCGTTGCTGATGCGCAGTGCCATCAGATAGGGTGATATCATACAGCTTCGCTGTGTTCACGTCCTGAGCTCGAGCGCATGTCCGCCTGGCCAGCTTTGCTGGCCGTAGCGTTGGTGGGGCTGGGTTGCGGCATTGCTTAGCTAGGCGTGGCATGCACAGATGCGCCGCTGTGCTAGCTTGCAGCGTAGCTTAGCTTATAGCGACTTGCAGTCTAGCCATCATTGGTTGGCTGGCCGAAGCGCCGCGCGACGTCGAAAGGATATCGCGCGGGGATGGGGGGGGGGGCGCACGGAACACGTCCGTCTCCGCCTGCCTGGCTCGCCTCGGTCAGTCCAATGGCTTGAGTAGCTCATATTGCCGCCGATGGTAGAGGCCCCAGGAGGGCCCCAAGAGGGGCCCAAGAGGGACGCAAGACACCGCCAGTAAGTCTCATCGAACGGCGCGTTTGGATGAGACCTCCCAGTGGTCTTTGGGGCGAGTATTGGGGCCCTCTTGGGGCCCTCTTGGGGCCCTCTTGAGGCCCGCTTGGGCCCCTGGTTGGCCCATAAGATGGCTCCAAGAGGGCCCTAAGAGGGCCCCAAGAGGGGCACAAGAGGGCCCCAAGAGGGTCCCACTATGGCCCCACGGGTGCACCATAGGGTTGTCACGCAGGGCACCGTCTTGTGACAGCCTCTTGTGGCATTTAGAAGACACCAACAGGACACCAGGAGGGGCCCAAGAGGGCCAGAATAGGGCCTCAAGACGCCCAAGAGGGATCCAAGAGGGCCCCACTGAGGTTGCCACGCAGGGCCCCTTCCTGTGACAACCCCTCGCTGTCTTTAGGAGACCCCAGAAGGACACCAGGAGGGCACCAATGGGGGCCCTAAGAGGGCCCCAAGATGGCACCAAGAGGGCCCCAAGAGGACCCAAGAGGGCTCCAAGAGGGCCCCGCCTGGGGTTGTCATGCAGGGCCCATCCCTGTGACAACCCTTCGCGGTCTTCAGAAGACCCCAAAAGGACCCCAGGAGGGGCCCAAGAAGGCCCTAAGAGGGCCTCTTCGTCATGGCGTTGGCTCAAGCGCCGTAGTTTTGGCTCAGGGCCCCAGGTAAGAAGGCATGGGGGAGGGGTTTGATTAAGAAGCTGGAAGGGGCAACCCTCTAGACATCTAGACCACCCACGCCCAGAGGGCTGGTGGGATTTAGTGCGATGCTCGTCCCGTCTGGCCCTTCCGCTCCGCCCATGAGGTTCTGCTTGAATGGGATCGAGGCTGGGCGAGAATATTCACCCCTCCACCTCCCCCCATCCACCTCCACGGTCCCCCCCCCCCCTTATTCCCCCCCCCCCCCCCCCCTCCCCCCCCCCCCCCTATCCCCCCCCCCCCCCCCCCCCCCCCCCCCCCCCCCCCCCCCCCCCCCCCCCCCCCCCCCCCCCCCCCCCCCCCCCCCCCCCCCCCCCCCCCCCCCCTCCCCCCCCCCGCCCCCCCCTCCCCCCCCCCCCCCCCCCCCCACCCCCCCCCCCCCTCCCACCCCCCCCCCCCCCCCCCCCCCCCCCCCCACCCCCCCCCCCCCCCCCCCCCTCGTGCGCCAATTCTCCTTTTCACCCCCCACTCGCCACCATAGTTAGCAGCATCGTCATCGTCAGCATCACCCATGTTATTGGCCCATCAAGGGCCCAAGAGGGCCTCCCACACTTCCCTGATCACCTCGACGCGCCTGGGCGTAGTTCCCCGATGAGCTGGTGGGGATACGCGAAGCGTCAATACTATAATGGCCCCAAGCACCGAATGGGGGCTGGAACTGATGTTCGCCTTAGTGCAGAAACCAGTTTCAGCTAGTCGTTGCGGCTTCGGAGCAGCTGAGCTGAAGTGTTCGCCGACTATGGCGCTACCAGAACTTCGAGCGCGGCCCTGGGGGGCGCTGAAAGAACACCCACATGACACGACGCCTCCAACATACCCCCAAGCACAGAATGGTGGCTGGAACGGATTTTCGCCTCAATGCGAAAATCCATTCCAGCTTGTCGCTGCGGCTCCAGAACAACTGAGCTGAACTGTGCATCGAAAATACCGCCAACCAAACTTCAAGCGCGCCCTGTGATGATGGCGCAAACGCGCCCGTCGTGCCGACAGCCATGCCTCAACAACAAAACAATGCATTTGAGCGCGTCTGCGTTTCCCACCGTGTTGCCACGCGCAGTCGCGCCTTCAGGCGTGCGCCACGAACTCGCGCAACGATCATATATGATAGTATGTGCATTGGCCTTTGTGCTGCCCTGGTCCAGCTTTCCTGCCCATGCAGCAGGCTAACCGCATTGCAAAGTGCATCTTGCGTGCGGTGCGCACGCGGTGTGCGCGGCGCGCGCGCATCATTGTGGCGCCGCGTTGAACGTTGGCATCGGTCGCGCGGCCAGCGCGGCGTGGCCCTTCATATTTTATCATTGCCAGCAGTGCGCCTCGGGGTCGTGGTGGTGTGCGCGGTGTGTGTTTGTATGTGCGTGTGCGTGTGTGTGTGTGTGTGTGTGCGTGTGTGTGCGCGTGTGTGTGTGTGTGTGCGTGTGCGAGTGTGTGCGTGCGTTTGCGCGTGTGCGCGCGTGCGCGGCGGTGGCGGTGGCGAGGGAGGGCGGGGGGGCGAAGGGAGGGCGGCGGAGGTGGAGGGGGAGGGCCGATGTGACAGCGCGCGTTTCCTTTTGCGCAGCGCCCGCGCGAAGGCACAGCACAGGTGCGCAACGTGTCCCCCCATCGTGGTAGCGATGTCAATCGCGCGCCTGTCCAGAGGACGTTGAGGCAGCGCCTCGTGGAATCGCGTCCGTTCCCCTCGCGCGCCTGCAAGCGCGGCCCAAACTGGTTCGGCGTCGCCCGCGCCCCCACACCCCACCCCTCCAATCACCCCGCCCCCACAACCGCCGCCACCGCCGCGCGCGCACGCGCGCACGCACGCACACACACACACACACATACACACACACACACACACACACACACGCGAGCACGCACGCACGCCCGCGCACACACACACACATACACACCCACACACCCACACCCACACCCACACCCACACCCACACCCACACCCACACCCACACCCACACCCACACCCACACCCACGCACGCACGCACGCACGCACGCAAGCACACACCAAAAACACACACGCGCATCTCCCCCCCCCTCCCCCTTCCACACCCACACCCACACCCACACCCACACCCACACCCACACCCACGCACGCACGCACGCACGCACGCACGCACGCACGCACGCACACACACACACACGCATCTCCCCCCCTCCCCTCCACTCACACACGCACACACACACACACACGCACGCGCACACGCACGCGCACGCGCACACGCGCGCGCGCCACGCGCCACGCGCGCACGCGCGCACGGGCTTCAAGATTGCCCACGAGGCGTCTCCGCAGCCATTTTGACTCAAGGCGGGCCGCCCCCAGCCCCCAGCCGCGCCCGCTGCGCCGCAATGGATCATTGCGCCGACGCCTCATCCTCCTCCTCCGCCCAGTGGCCCGACTGGCCCGACGAGGGCCTCGGTGCGAAGAAGCGGCTGTGCGGAGAAGTCGCGGAACTGAGTTGGTAAGTGCATGAACTCGAGGAGAAGCTTGAGAGGACTGAGGAGAAGCTTGAGAGGACAGCAGGTCGTGGACGGGAGCTTCCCAAGAAGGCCGAAAAGGCCGCGGCGCTGCAACGCACATTGGCCGAACAAGCCAATATTGGGACGTACGTGGGCACGCCGTGAGGCGTTTCGGCCGCGCGGGCAACTGTTGGGGCTGGGGTCGTCGCGGCTGGCGGTTGGGGTATCGGAACATAAAAAGGGATTGCCCAATTTGCGGGTGCTCGGGTGGGTGGTGTGTATGTGGGTTTGCGTGGTGGTGGCGGGGGGGGGGGGCGGGGTGGCGGGGTTGTGGTGTTGATGGTGGTAGTGGTGTTGGTAG